GGGGGGGGGGGGGGGGGGGGGGGAAGGGGAACGGATGGGCTGGGAGATTGCACTAACTATGGGCTATTCTCTTCAATTATGGCACTATTGTTGAGCACATATTGCACAAGAGTCTTTTCTCGGAAGCCAGCGCGCTGCTTGATTGCCTCGAGAGGACTGACTAAGTACGTGAAGAGACCTGATCCAGAACCCCCGCCTGCAGCAAGCACGCCGTATTCGTAGTTACCGACGCCGTTGAAGTAGAAAACGGACATGCCGTTCGTGAAATCACCAGCGTCATTGCCGAAAACCGTAATATGTTTCGGCGACTTCAGAGGAAGGGTGTTGTTAGTGTTTTTTAAGAGCACAATACCATCTGCAGCTTGCTTGCGGATTTCTGCTCCATGATTGCCGCGAACGTCAACGTTGGCGACTGGTCCATAGGTGTAATTGTATTTGTACTCATCGGCTGTTTGCTATTTTAGTATGAAAGCTCTACACATATATTCCCATAAGAGCTGTCACTTACGGCTAGAGAACAGAACTGCGTTGAGCTCTTCATTGACGGGGTCCATGGCCGGGAAGCCCTTGTCCTGATTCAGGTGAAAATACGGCGTCATCACTCTGCGACACATGTCGTCCAGGCGGTCCATTGAAACAGAGCCATTTTTAACAGACTCAATGAGGTTCTGGTTGAAGAATACTGGCCCGAAGCTTGCCGTACCCGGCATATCCATGTCCTCGCCTGCGTTAATGGCAAACGCCCCGCTGTGTGTAGCACCCCAGTCTGACATCACGTACCCTTGGAAACCAAGTTCCCCTTTGAGGATACCATTTTGCGCCTTGCTGTTCTGGCATCCGTAGGTTTGGTTCAAGCGGTTGTAGCTGCACATCACCTAGTACCGCACTGTTAGACATAGTTCGCCCACCCCTTCATGGATAACTTACAGAAGCAACTCCGGCTTTGACTGCTTGCTGGAATGGCCAAAGATAGAGCTCGTGCATAGTGCGATCGTCAATATTGGAAGAGACACTCTCAATCGTCGTGCCGTCTTCGTTCTGGGAAGGCTGCCGTTGAGTCTCTTGCTCATTACCGATGTAGTGCTTCGCGCATGCCTGCACACCGCTGTCCTGGATACCAAGGATGGTCTCCGTGAACAATTCTCCCGTCAAATAGGGATCAGGTGAGAAGCCCTCCCAGTTTCTTCCGCCCAAACCACTCCGGCCAAGAGGTCCAGCAACAGGCCCAAGAAGGACCTGGGACCCCTTGCCCCGGAACTCGGCAGCCATCTGACTCCCTCTTTCGTAGGCAATGTTCTTGTCCCAGGTTGCGGCGATAGTGATCCCGGCAGGAAAGACAGAGGAGTAAGTCCCTTGCTCCAATGCCAAGGGGCCATTCTGTATACAGAGTCCTGTGAAGTTGAGACGGTAGATGGGCGCAATATTTCCTACACAAGGCCCTTCCGTCCCCGAGACGAGGCCTACTTTTTCTTCGGTGGTAAGCTGGGAGACAAAGTTCGAGGCCCGGGCAAAGGCATCTTCCCACTCAGAGCCCGTTGCATCCGCTGTTATATATCAGAAAGGGTCACTGAGAATATATGTGTTGGTGCTCACTGACGGTTGGGAATCTCATCCGGAGTAGGGCTATAGAGATAATCGTTGTGATTCCATACTGCGGTGGCAGCACCTATACAAGAAGCAAGCGCTGCTGTATACAAAAGCTTGCTCCGCATGGTGGCGACTCTTACTCAACAGAACCTCAGTGACTATTTTCTGCAGACAGGAAATTTTCCTCTGTCGAACGAGTCCTTTTATAGCCATGCGGCATGTCCTTCCCCTCACGGTAGAATTTAACCGCGATCCCGATACATCATGTTGCCCTTGAAATCTAGGATGAGTCTAGTTTACCTCTAGCATTTTCTCAAAGCGCCTTGCGTGGTTTCTCATGACTTCCTCAGATCCACAATGCAATAGCAAAAAGAGGTATATAGGTGTTCCGGCAAAACTTCGGCTAAACATCCGTGCATACAGTGGGTCAGTCGATCATCCCTCTATTTGTTTAAGTAGCATAGATGGGAAGGGTCCAGCGATATGACGCCGATATGTAGAAGAATGCGGGGGTGAATCTGGGGCAACGGCATGAATTCAATGAACTGGGTTGGTTGGTAGTTTTACCCAATTTGGCAAATATGTGGTGAACAACACGCTTTGGCCTCTGCCAGGGTGGGTAACTATCGAACTATATATTGTATTTGCGGAATTGCCCGACATATATCCGCTTTTGGTCTGGTAGGGAAGCCTTGCCCTGTACTGCGGCAAGGGTTGGTTGTGCATACTGCGGACCGGCTGTCTGAAGAGAGTCACTATCTAAGAAACATAGCAATTTCCCCCCGACGCCAGTAATACTTACGAAGCAAGTATGCCATAATAATAATCTTCTATGAGTTTGCCTACCTCCTCGAGTGTGAGGTCATGAAAGACAATGCAGCTGCCCGACCTTATTTCCTGCTCAGTAACAACCAACTTCGACCGCATTGCTTTGGCAGCTGGAGCACTCCGGAGAGGGGCCGTTTGAAAAACCCCTCAAGCATTAGTCAAATGGGGGCCGTATATTTTTGAGATTATTATGAATTGATGATGCCAGATGTATCTTGCATACTACCCAAAGTTGTTGTATCTGTCTTACCCCAGCCAAGTACTTAGGGCTTCAGCCCGCTGTCGACAATTGTATTATCTCGTACCATTAAACAAGAGTACGCATTACTATGAAGGTGTAGTCAAAGTGAGATCTCATATTTTGCTGGATATATGATTGTAATATAGCTCTTGTTTAGAAGGAAATGACTCAAGTTACCTCTGACTGTGGAGGAACACCACTCTGAGTCACCACGTCGTCTTTTAGAATGCGCTCAATTTACTCTTAGTAGTTGTAATGGCATCCTCCTTGATCATGTCAGAGACACGTTCCGCAATAGCGTAGAGATTAGCTGTTGGATGGCCACCTATCTGCATCGGTTGAATGGAGGAGTCAACTACGCGTACGTTACTGGTACCGTAGATCTTCAATCGACTGTCGACAACTCCACCCATAGAGCGGGGTAACATAGACGTCGTTCCGATGGCATGGTAGTTGGGCGTATCTAACGATGACGTTCACGCAACGAGTCAGGAGGCTACAACCCTAATCAAGGGAGATAGTACGGATTGACTTACATTGCTCCCCTATCCATTCCTTCCAGGTTTCATCCGAGGCTTCCTCTGGAATCTCCTTAAATCCAGGCAGAGTTTCATTGCTGATTAGGTTGTTGAGCTCACCACTCTTGTACATTTGGCGCAGGAATTTGGACATGGCTATCTGTACCTGGACGTCCCACTCGAAAAGGCCGAAGTTTGGGTTTACAACCGGTGGTGCCATGGGGTCGGCGGAGCTAATATGAACATTTCCTCGCGCAAACGGGAGCAGACCCCAGTAGCCAGTGTGGATGGTATTGGCGTTCTCCAATATAAAGACAAACTCAGCAACTGGAACATCCTGGTCGAATACAAGGTCGTGCTGGATCTCGAACATCTTCAGCAGGTCCTCCTTTGTCATAGCACCATTGCTACTACTGGCTGCAATATCGGCATATCCCTCCAGTTGTGAACGAACTAAGGTAGCCACTGACTCGACTGATGACCCGAAGATATCCGATGCGGAAGCAAAAGCAACTGTTCTTGTTCCCGTTATTGGTGTTTTAGTAGACACGACAATGGAGGTATTGAGCTGATCCTGCAGGTTTTCGCCAACGCTCGGTAGATTGACCTGGACGGGAATACCATATTTTTCCAATATTCTGTTGGTAGTGTCAGGGTCACTATGCACGTCCGCGTAAAAATACTGGACAAGAAAAATGTTTACCTGGGATTTCCGACACCAGAAAGCTCTAGAATTGCAGGTGTTCTCATTGCACCCGCAGCCATAATGACCTCCCTTCGCGCATTAACGACATTTATTTGCCGTCCATTTCCTTCCTGGGTAAAGACTTCAACTCCTTGAGCACGAATATCACTGCCATCCTCCTCGTTATGCCATAAGATCCGGGAGACGAAGGTATCCAACTTAACCCTCAGATTTGGTCTCTCCGCATAGGGCCAATAGTATGCTCTCGCCGCATCACTGCGAATATTAGTTACATCAACCGTATAAGGATGAAGAGCAAAGCCTCGCATGTGCCCGGAATTCAAGTCCTGATTCCATGGAATACCCAAAGACTCCAATGTGCGATTCATACTCGCTGTCAAGTCATATTCCTCTTTTCGTATATCCATAAAACCAACGTGCACCGGCCCACTGCTGCCGTGGTAAGTAGGACAGATGGACGCCCCGGCCTCTGTCTGCGTCTTGTTGGGGGTCGTCATATTTTCACTTTTTGTATAATAGGGAAAGAGGCTATCCCAGTCCCAACCGTCGATCCCAAATTCATGCAAGGCATCAATCTGTCCTTTCTCAGCTCGGACGTAAGCCGCCCCTGGAAACGATTAGTATGCCCTGTCCAAAGCAGATTTAAAGTCACCTTACGTACCGTTCATAACGCTTGTTCCTCCGAGCGCTTTCCCTGCACGCATCACTTGGCGGCGTTTGCCGAATCCCTGTTCCGTAGTTTCGTATGCCCAGTCGAGGGGGCTGTCATATGTGTACGGAAGATTGCTGATATCGGTTACGTTGACATTATCAAAAACAGATGATCCGGCCTCAATAACTAAAACTGATACCTTTGGATCTTGGGCCAGTCGGTTGGCAACAGCTAACCCGCTTGTGCCTCCGCCAACAATAATGTAGTCATAGTCAGAGGCTACGGCTCCAACTACTAGGAGCAAAATCCAAAATAAGAGCATGGTCAAAACTCAGAACACTTCGGCAGTAGAAGCTCAACGGTTCTGGTTCTGGAAATATGTTTCGAGTATCATACTCGGGGGCAAATGGAGAACGGTGTCTGGGGTTTATATTCTTCACTCATACCTGCAGTAGAGGTAGATTCTAAGACGTCATCTAGCATGTCAAGGGGGCTGCGATAGCGCGATAGGTGGAGTAACTATCGGGGCTTGCTGGGTAAGCTACCGTAAGTAGAATCCTCTGCAGGTAAGGGTGGTATTGCGTGGCACTAAAGCTGCAAGGAGTCCAGGAGAGATCTGCATTGCCAAGACACTGGCGACGAGAGAGGACAGGCATATCCCAGCGCAAGGGCTCGCGAGCTGGATATGTATGGTTACATAAATGCTGAAACAGAGCCGGATATTCATTTTCCCTACGTATGGGCCACATGTCGGCCGCTAGCTAATGTTTGCCGCATCCCAAATAGTAGTATTTATATTGCAATGACTATATTCATAGCTAACTATTCGTCTTCCTTTCTTAAAGAAAAGTATTCAGCTACATATTCTCTTCACCATTCTATCCCTAGTGCTCGAAATACAGTCTGGTTACATCTATCCAAAAATGCCATTGCCTCTTTCTTGTCATGCCATGCGTCGTTATATGCCGTACTCAAAGTCAGCCTGTCCTTCCAAGTGCCCAAGAATACGCCAAGTCCCGTGCCTAGCTCTTCTCCGGTAACCCATGGGTTGTCTAGCTGGAATGGCCCATGGGTGGGGCTTATCACTTTATCAATAACACCCAAGCTAGATATGGAAACAGACGGGTTATCGTTGCGTGACGGAACATGGGGAGTAACTCCATCAGCTGGATATGGAATGGTAGACATTTTCCAATAAGACGGAACAAGAAAGATGTGTTCTTCGTCACTCCGTATGCCGAGATAAAAGTTGCGTACTGTTTCAGCAATATCCATGAATTCTGCTTTGTCCTTCGCTGTGGTAGATGCCATATCAGCTGTCTCTAATGCTGATCCAACATTCAAATCGATTGCCAGGGATCTCCCTGAGACAGAATGGTATACCGTTGCGGGGTGGGCCCAAGTTCTATATGGGTTCCTGCAATGGCCACGCTCGTTGATGAGGCTGTAGTTGAGATAACGGACCTTGCGCTCATTGGCGCGTCTCTCCTGGGTGCCCCGGACAGTAACCGCGATCGCAGTATGGTACACATGTGTAATGCTAAGGCCAGTCTCCCGGCATTTATCCAGCAACTGCCTCGTCTGCTCTATAGAAAGAGTAATGGCGACGCGCTGATGTTTACCCGGCTTCGTCCTATCTCTGTTAAATGGGATGCTAGCAATTTCAACGCCCTCCTTTAGGGATTCATTGGAATGATTGATGTCTCGTAGCCGGCTTTGTTGAGCTGGCCGTAAATCCTTGGGTATCCCGGCAGCCACACGGAGCGGCGGGCTCAAATTTGTCCATTCACCACCAAAGCACGGAGCTGTATAACTTGCTCCCCATTTGTAGATTTCTGCCGCATGCGCGAATAAATTGTTAAAGAGCATCAGTGTACCCATTCCATCAATAATGTCATGATGAGCTCGGAGGACAACATCTGCCCGAAAGGCCCCCTCAGCTGCGGATGGCCCTTTGATCAGAAATAAAGTCGGCAATGCCGGGACAGGGGGATCCGAATTACACCATTCAAGCCCTGATACGCTGGTTGACACGATTTGGAAAGTATCTTTCAACCAATCTTCCTGTGAGGACGGTTCCGTGAACGTTTCATATATTTTTTTGCACTGTTTCCCATGCACATCGTATTCAACTCTCGATGCGATTGTGGGATGATCGTAACGTAGTCGAAGCCAAGCCTTTCGTAGAGCGTCCTCTGCTCTAGTCTCGGTCTGGTGGTCTGAGGAACGGCTCTCCGCAGGAGCAAAAACTGAAATGAAACCCGTCATGGCAAAGAACGTTCTTCCTGTTCCTTCATACGCTTTTGCCAGTGATGTGTAGAATTGCTCCGCCTCGTCAACATCACGCTCCCATCGGCCAGGCCTGATCTCACTCCATTCAAATCCATTTGGTATGACTGATGCCATTGTAGTGTCGAAGGCGCATAGGTATGTATGTGTAAGGAAGGGGCTGGTTAGGTTGTAGGGATGATTTGTGCTGTGCATTCGGCTATTGCCAACGAGCGGGCAACACCGCTTTGAACACTACTTTACCTGCTAGGAGTTTCGGTCCGATCTTCCGCACATGTTCTATGCAAAAAAGCGGATAATAGACTGTGAATACAGCTACGTAAATATTTGCAGCGAGGTGGGTGGCTTGTAAGCTTACTGGCTGGCGGCTAAACTTCGGAACTTCTAATATAAGCGCATAGACCTTCCTGATTTGGTAAAATAGCCAGCAGGTATGGTCGAAGATGTCAAGGAACTCACGATATACACCTTTCATGCAGGGGATAGATTTCTTATAATCATGCTTAACACGAAGAGAGTAAAGAGACCCCCAGGAAACTATTAAGGAATGTTTCCCTCACTCACATGACAACTGACTTCAATTGTAAAGCGCATGTAGGTTCGCTTTCGTAAAGGATAAAGTATCAGGAACTTGGTTATTTAGGCACCGATCTGGTGTACTGACGGACTCGTGCTATGATATCACGACTATTGGGACTTGATGGTTACATTATATATTCTTATGGGCAACCCTACTGATAGAACAATAAATCCCCAGTGTGCTCCTAGATTCTTCGGCGAGATTTAATTTAATAACAATTCCACTGGTTGGTATTCATGATTTCTACCTAACTGACAGGCTTTCTGTCCTGCCAAATCAGATCTATTACACTTGCGTATATGGAAATCATTATGTTGGTTATCACTTGTCTCCTAGGGCTCGCTCCTATTATCTTCGTTGTTTATATTTCGCGGCCCCAGCGGTATGATCATTGTGAACTCACAGTCTTCACGAGTAGGAATTCAATGGTAGGATTTTTCACCCATGCATAGTCGAAGGCGATATCTTACTGCTTTACATCCCGGTGAGAAAGGTTTGTAAGGGAAGTACATCTGATATTCCTATATGAGCACTGGGTCATTCAGTATGTCCTGTTATACTCCCGATGAGTTACTGTGGACACTTGGATGAGTTGATATACATCCCAAGATAACTGAGTGCCTAATGATGGTACACGTAAAGACTAAAGCTTGAACCTGCATCTGCTATTATCACACTAATCAATGACATCCTGAATCTATCAAGCTGAACTCTATTCGAGGAAGCACCCACCTCCTTGATAGTAACGAACGAAAGGAAATCACTCTAATTTGCTGCGCCTCTTCTTCGGATTGAGAACTATGCTGTCACAGAAGCAACTTAAATAACGCCGATAGTTCAGTTTGCTGGCCGTGTTGAAAAATTAACGAAATTCGTAGTTTGGCATGATATATGCTATCATTGACTTGAGAAGAAATGAAGCGTAGAAACGACCTGGACTACTCATCTCTGTTATAATGTCAAACTTGAATGAAAAGTACACAAACAGAGCACTTACCACGCATGATCACCCAAACTAGAATCAAGAAATTTCTCGTTCATTGTAGTCGACATTGACTTGTGTGTACTGCCAGTGCCGGCCTTAGGTCGGTAGGGGCCATATGGCTTCAGGACAAGAGGACTCTAGCTAGAAGCGTTGTGAACATGATGGACAACTTTGTCGGCGGAATGGCTCGTAGGTGATTGTAGGAGCGTGGGACATCTGTAGTAAGTGTAAGCACCAGACAAGACCCCACTATCTAGCTCATGTTATGGATACTCACTCTAGCATGGCAGAGCGTTGCACATCGCTAGGCTCAGCAATGTTCAGATTGTTCTGTACCACATTATGCATATGGCCAGATTGTGAAGCGATTGGGAAAGAGAAGTCCTTCCCGGCCTCTGCATGAGATAGTCAACGTCTGTGCCTCATTTTGTTTAGGCCCAGTGCTAAATGCGGCTTGTCAACACTTTGTTTTGTTCTCGTTTTGTCCCGAGTTTGTCAGTACCTCATCTTGGTCAAATGTACAGCTTGTTGGATGCTCGACGCAGCCCTTAAAAGGCATGGGTCGTTGCGGCGGTATAAAGACAAGGGCCGTCCATCTCCCCTTCGGGATTTCAGTCAATGTGAAGTAATTGACATTGACGATGAAACTAGACAACAAATATACTTTCTACCGTCCTTAAAATATTCAATAACCGGAACAAGGTGGTTAGTTCTATTTTTGTGAATATCTTCAAGCCTAGCAGTTTCAAGATGACACTGTCTTGCAGATTTCATTCTGGATCTACATACGCAGGCTTCGGGCAGCAGCATAACCCTATGCTTTAAGTTGCTGACGACCTAAGACCCTACTCATGGCCTCACATGCATCAGGGATAGAAAGGCCCCGAATTACCTTTGTTGGACAATTTCAGAAGGAGGGAGGGAAAAGGAACCACCCAGACAAGAATCCTTTCAAGTGTCATTCCTGTCTTCGGCCCTCACAGGTTACGGATGTTCCGAAATAGACGGTGGATACCCCAGGTCACACCTCTGGATTCGACCGTAGGCTCAAGCCAGTCAGGCTGATGAGGCTAGATGAAATATTCCTGGGATACGAGGCTACGCTAAGAACTTCCGATCGATCTAGCGACATTATCGGGTGCATTGCCACTTGAGGGGGTCCGTTCTGAAACGCAGCCCATCTGCAAAGTCCAAATCGTTGTCATTTTTCGGAACCTCTTGCAGTTCTTCGATATTACACAAATCAAGAAGATGTCTCTTTGTCCGCAGCTGATACAGTCAATTTCAGGTGGGGGTTACGACCTGAGCATCATTCGTAGGACGGTGCCTTGCTCTAGGCTTAACAGAAGTATTATGATACAATCCCCCAACATGCAGGTAACCGGTCAGTTAGACATCAGTGTGACACACACACGAAGTGATTAAGGATGGAACCAATCTGTGTTTCTAGATAGCTGCCATGTTCGTAGTACACTCCACTCTTCTGTCAAGTGCCTAAGAACAGCTCCACTCAGGGTTACGGCCCCGGGCTGTTTCATAACTCCTGGTTATATCCGAGCTCGAACGACGCTACAAATTAGTCATGGTGTTTTACAATCCTAGCTTGATATGGCTTGAAGGGACAAGAAGCTTGCGCCAAGGCTCGTAATCCAACACATGCGCCTGAAATACCGAACCACGGAATTGAAGGAGAGCTGAGCTTTACCGGAAGGTGTTATATAATTGAAGAATACAGTCATGCTCGGCCGAATAACATCAGGACTGTGATGTGAAACAAGCAACAATCAACATCTACGCAGTCAATATATACGAACTAGCACGCAAGATGTCCTTCATACAACCAATAGCCGTCTTCAGACTTTGCTCGTCTTCACATGCCGCAAAGACAACTCGATCTGGACGCACGATAATATACTTTGCGCACACCACCGTGCGAATCAGGAATGGTTCATAATAGGTGGGCTCGGGGCGACCACGGCAGAGAGGTGACCGGGCAAACTCTTCGGCGCTAGCGATCTGAAATAGGTTCCTGTCATCCTCAGCTCCGGGCTTGGTGATATTTTCAATGACAAAGGGAACTTGGTTGGTAGCAAATTCGCCCTGTGATAGCTCCTCCACTTCCCGCAACACAGTCCGAGTGAGCGGTATCTCCTCATCGCTGAGCAGATAAACGAATAGTCGGAAGATACTCTTTTGCTTGCATTTGAAGATGACATCGTCGGTGAAAAGCACTTTTCCAGTCATATCCTTGCAGAATACTTGAGGCAGGCTCAGGCCTCCGTTGAGCTCCGGCATGAAAGGCATCCCTTCAGAGTGTACGTATCGGATCAACCCGTCCTTTCGTCGTCCCGATTGGAGATGGCGTTTCCAGCTGGGAAATAACTGGAGCAGCCAGAGATACCAGTCCCGTATGAAGATTTTGCCGAAATTGGCTTCGCACACAAACTTCCCATTCGCGATTGTCGTAGCCAGAGACTTCTCAAGTTGCTGCTTTCGTTCCTCATACCACGCAGCCAGGACTTGTTCGTGGAATCTGGAGGTGGCTGGATGATGTCGACATAGCAGAGCGAGTCGCCATGCTAGTGAAATGGCATCGCGAAATCCGGACGCAATCCCTTGTCCTCCGACTGAAAGGATTAGCTCCGCCATGAGAACTGACTGGTAGGGAACCTACAAGGGGGAAATACATGCGCAGCATCACCACAAAGAATAACACGATCTTTGGCCCAGGCATTGCAGCTGCGTGCGGAAAAGGTAAACGGGCGCGATCGGATCACATGTATACAATCCTCGGGGAATTGCACATCATGCGCGAGACTACAACATAAGTAGGAGGCGAACCATGGGACCTGGACTTACTTACCCATATCGGCTTCCTTGGTGTGTCACATAGGGAAAAACAATCTTCTTTAGTGATTCGGGTTTCGCCATCTCGTAGCCGTCCTCTCCTGGACGAACGACAAATTCGAATCTCCATAGCCGGTCTGTTTGAAGGCCGAACCGTCCGCATACGGCAGGGCGATTAGGATTGCAGAGAAACCGGAATTCATATGGAAAGAAAAGATCATACACTTGTTCCGGAGTATATCCCAACGTCCACAATGGAAACTCGGGGTGCGACTCGGGTATGGGTAATGTGATTTGCCAGTTTAGCGCTACCCAAGTCTCCTGATAAAATTCCCTTATCATAGTGTCAGTGATGCAACTTGCAGCAATAACATATGCCACGTACTCTGTGACTTTCTCCATATGTACACCTTTTGGCTCTAGGTACTGCTTCCGTGTAAACCCCGTCTTGCCATCCGCACCGACGAAAAATCGCGCCCGAATCCTCCGCTCAGCCTCCCTTGCATCTCGATACTTGCAGTAGATCCACTGCTCATCTTCCCACAATTCATAGACGGTTGACTCGGATCTCAGAGTGCAGAATGTGCTATGTGACATAGCCTTTCGTAAGTTCTCTTCGAGTGTAGGTTGTTTGTGACAAAGAAAGCCGATATGACCTGTTCCTCCGGTCGTCTGATAGAGTTAGTTCATGTATCATTAACTACAGTCTGCTCGACTCACCGTGCTATAATCCAAAGCGAGAATTGGGTTTTTCTCTAAGACCGGCTCTGTTCCGCCGATAAAGTTGAACCTACCCATGCCTATTTCGCCAAGTCAATGTTGTGGAATTCAGCGGTGAAGGAGAAACAAAGGGAGCGATACTGACAACTGCCGATTTCACTAAAAATTGAATCATATATACCAACTCCCTGGAGAAAGCGAATGCCATCCTCATCCAGAGCGATTCCACGAGGATCGGTAGTGATATCAACGTCTCGCTCTAGCACTACATTCGGGACGGACATCTGACCCAAGTAAGCCGATAGCATGGCCCCGGTTGGGCCACAGCCACAAATAACTACATCTGTAGTTTCCCAATCCTTGATCTCCATGGCCTAGTTTGAGAATATAGTTGTGGTGAGAGATGGCGACCGCACCGAAAAGTAACGAGGAGCAGGAGCGGTTACATGTGTTATATAATAAATGTTATGCACCCCTGTCAATAACAAATATGGTTACTTACATGATTATCCTGCGGGGTTCTGTGGGACACGTAACAATCGCGGGATATTGGGATGGTTACCTCTACATCGTTGCATCTTCTCCGCAGAAAGACAACTAATTCCATTTGGTCCGGTAGTACAATAAAATAATTTAAATATGTGGGTCAACGCAGTACAAGTAGTAAACTGCTTCTCCAAACTCTATGCCTGTTCTCTTGATGATTCCGTTTTGCTTCGACTGTTCCAATTCTCCACTTTTCACACTTCAACAGTAATACCTCCAAATGGTCGCGCTCATGTTTCTATCTGGGGCTCTACTCTGGGCGAGAAATTGTCCCGGAGCTCGTGTATCCATTATTCTCGTGCTATCGGTCCTGGCCGTCTAAGGCTATCGAGAACCAGCTGTATGTATCCCCTGAAGGTAACAGTGCTGCTACCTGCCCCCTCGTCAAGGGTGATGATGATGTCGTTGCTGCACAGGCACAGTGGTCGCGCGTAATCATACAATATCTCACGTGGGAGCGCCAACTACACATAGAGTACCGTCTCTGTGATCTTGATGTACGTCGAGCTGCTCCTCTGCTGGCAGGCCAAGTTGGCCCACGAACACATCCACGTGGTCGATGACGCGAAGCTTCAGCTCACCTATCGCCCTCTTCGCAAGCTCTTTCATGGTCCCATAGCCTTTCATCTATATTGGCATGTTTAATGTTACTGGGTGTTGGTGAGGATGTATTGCTACTTTAACGCACCTCGAGTACCAGAAACTCTCCATCGGAATTTTCCACGAACACGGTGACCATATCGACGTTCATGGAAGCTGTTGAGGTTAGACCTGGCGTAGTAGGACTTGTGAGGTTGAAAGGGCGGCCCGGCAACGAACATAACATACATTTACAGTCACAGACGATGAGATCGGTTAAAAAGACGCTGAGCGGAGAGAGATGATTGAGGGAAGAGTTGACGGAAGTGTCAAGATGTAGGGTAACAGCAAGGTGGCGGACAAGTGTGCTAAGAGGTAAGGGCATCGTCTGCACATGACCCAGAGAGGTACACGCAAAACATAGGAAGGCTAGAGTGAATGAATGCCCAACCAGGTATTCCACGGAGACAACCTTGTAACATACCACTCCATACCTAGATATCTTCATGCTCAATGCGTGAAACAGCTTGTACCACTACATTTCGCTGAAAAGACAACCCGAACAAGGATATGGAGTTTCCTCCGCTTTATAAAGCCCGCTCAACCTATCTCAATCAATTCAAGAGGAAGGAACTTGGCGCGTACTGTCGGGGAGTTAGTCAATCCGGTATTTCATCACCCTCTCTAGCACTAGAATGCCTATTTCTTATGCTTAATATCTCGTCAAGCTATGCTCCTGCAGTTATGTCTTCTTCTAGGGTATCCTCTTCCTTGCTTGGAGTCTTGTTTAGACAAGCCAGGGGTCTACTATTACTACTCCAAGTATTGATACTAGAGGCACAAAAGACGATGACATGGTGAACTGATCATTGACGATCGCAATTGTCCTACGGCATACCCGATTCCTTGATCATCGTCGCCACAAGAAAACGCTGTTCACTACAACTCCATTATATGTAAACCTACAACATCCCTTTTTGTGACCCAATATAATCACCTGCACGTTCATGGCTGGAAGTCACTGAAGGAGCTCTTGCGACTTTCTGGGAATAAACTGCGTTATTGAGGATCTCTGATGCCACAGCGAGAGATAGCCAGTATGTAGTGGATTCCTAGGAACTTCTCTACATCCTGAAGCTCAGACCACGCGATTCTTCTCGGCTGTTCCCTTGGGTAGACACGGAGCTCTAGGGCCGATTGTATGTATTACTATCCCGAGTCCAACAAAATTGTCTAGCACAGGTCATCTAACTCAAACGGAAAACTACTCCCAGACACGCAAGGTTATACTACGAGATAGTTCGGCGATCTCGACATAACGTGGTTTACACACGAGCCACGCAACGCTAGCTCTCTTGTAAGGCGATGCGTATCAACTTGTCGTGAGCCGTTCATGCTCCCTGCTTTTCTCTGTTTAGTGATCTAAATCTTGTCCCGCTGGTTGCGAGTTGAGCCAGCTACAAATGGATACTGAACGGGATGATCAATAAATTCATATTAGAGGCGACAACAATCCCATCAGTTTACATGCCGAGTTAGGTAAGTATGGCACTGCTAGCAGCTATCGCCCCAACGAAGCGTAACATAGACTGCGCTATGGCTTGCCTTGAGACATTGTGCCGGGGTACATTCCATACCATTCACCCTATCAGTGAAGTCCTTGTGCGAGGGGCGGCATTGTGGAGTAGGTATCTGTCAAATATCCGAGACGAGATATGGTCGGAACGAACCGATCTCGGGCGAGCGGTTTTTCTTGTAATCAGAGACAAGAGTCTTCTTTTAATTTCCTCGCGCGTGGGATACCCTTCAGGTTAATGACTCGCCGGCGCAACCTCAATGAACTAATCAGGTCGAGAGTTGGCCGTTAGTCGCGGGTCGTGTAATTTCCATTGCAAGGGACCCTCCGTCACGCCAATGAAGGAACAAATCGTTTCGTATCGAAGCTGAAGGGTTGCTCCCTTTGTCACTCCCAAGGTTCTCAAGCATCCTTGGCATGGGGCACAAAAGGACTTGGCATCTTGAAACTGTCTGCAGAGTGCCATGTTGGTTTGGCATGCTTGACTTGCCTGCGCATCCAAAGTGAGTTTGCGATGGCTAAGTAATCCCATGTGCTCAGTCAGCAGGACGAAAGGATACAGGCATTTCTAATCTGCGACAGATTCATTTTCCAACAAATTGACAATGCCAACGGATACAGGGTCTGCCGAGCGCGATGAGAACCTTGGAGACGCCAAGTATTCCACTACTCTTGGCATGCTAGACATTTGATACAGCCCGTGGGCTGTGATTTATGTCGGCTAATTTTGACCGGATGGTCGAGACAAGTTAAGAGGCGAGTTACCTTGGAGGGCCACTACTGGTGTGGAGGTATAAAGCCAATCCGACTTCCCTTGTTGGTACTTTCTCAACCTGCCACTCCCAAACACACATAAGCTTGGACCATAGCCCAACTTACCTGCAAGAACAATGAGATTCTCAATCCTCGCTCTGTTCGCCTTGGCCTCGGCTGCCTTGGCCCAAGAAAGTACTAGCCAAGATCCGGGTCCGTCCCCCACTGCCTCTGTTGGATGTGAGCCACACGGAGACCACTGGTATGTTTCTGTTCTCCTCTTCAACATCAGAGCACCGATATCTAATATATGTCCAGGCACTGCGAAGGTCCAGCATCGACATCGGAGACCGCCACCCCAGCCGTTCCTAGCCCAACTGAATCTGTAGGCTGCGAGCCGCACGGCGACCACTGGCATTGCGACGGCCCCGCCTCGACCACCGCAGCAGCCACTACCACGGGCACCCATTCACACACAGATGAGGCCGATGCCACCGAGTCGGTTGGTTGTGAGCCTCACGGCGACCATTGGCACTGTGACGGCCCTGCTGAGACGGGAGCCTCGTCATCAAGTGGCAGCAGCAGCAGCAGCAGCAGCAGCAGCGGTTCGACTGGCAGCAGCACAAGCACTGCTGCCGCTGCTACAGGCACCGGATCGGATGAGGACAATGCGGCGGGGAATATGGGTGTTCGACTTTCCGTTGCGGTCGGGTTGGCGCTAGGAGTTGCGGCGTTCCAACTTTAAGGTAGCATGGTCGATGTCGGACATTGTATATTCCAGTCTTGTCAGGGACCGGGGTGTGCCGAACCTATAATGTATTTACTAAAATTGTTTTGGATTTGATTAGTCAAATGGTACTATAGGATTGGGAAATTTTTTTTATTAGGGTTGCCTAATCATATGGTTCTTCCCGCATCCGAGTGGTCTGTCCCGTCAGACCATTCGGAATATCCACTCGTCTTGGCGTCGTTCCAACACAAATGGTAAACGTTATATAATGCATGAAAATCATCTTAGCGGTGATTGGAACTTCTAAATCGCCCAGTGTGCAGGATCATCTCAACATGGAGTCCTTCAATGCTACTGCCTTTCCTCAAATGGCTTCATATGCGGACCTTATCAAGCTGGCCCATCAAAACCCCAACCTATCCAGCATGGAAAACCTCTGGGAGGCTTACTACTCCTATTGGAACAATGATATCCTCGCCACAGGTAACCTTCACATGTTCGTACTGTCCCCGGAACAACAACTAACCGGCGCAGGAATTATCACCTTCATTGCCCACGAACTGATTTATTTCGGCCGCTGCCTCCCATGGATAATCGCGGACGCAATGCCAGGCACGTTCAACCGGTGGAGGATACAAGATCACAAAGCACCACCCTCCGTAGCTACCCAATGGGACTGCACTAAATACATCCTCGCTATCCACTTCATCGTCGAACTCCCTCTGATTGTCCTCTTCCACCCCATGATGGACCTCTGTGGCCTCAAGTACGCCTCTCCCTTCCCAGACCTCAAAACCCTGGTCGCCCAACTCGCCATCTTCTTCATTGTTGAAGATACCTACCACTACTGGTTGCACCGCGCTTTCCACTGGGGGCCCCTCTATCGCTCCATTCACCGCATCCATCACCAATACGCGACCCCTTTCGGTCTCGCGGCCGAATACGCCAGTCCCTGGGAGACCCTCCTGCTCGGTCTTGGCACGATCGCCCCACCGCTCGTTCTGGGCTACTTCACAGAGAACGTTCATTTGATCACTGTATTGGCATGGATGGGTCTGCGCCAAGTACAGGCTATCGACTCGCACTCGGGATATGATTTCCCCTGGAGCTTGAGGCGGATTATCCCGTTCTGGGGTGGAGCTGACTGGCATGACGATCATCATCGCTACTTTGTGGGCAATTACTCTAGCTCGTTCCGCTATTGGGATAGTAAGTCTTTCTTTGGTTTCTTTCCGGGATTTAGTTTACAAGGACTAACCTACGACAGTCTTGATGGGTACCGTTGCTGGCCCCAAGAATGGGCGTGAGCATAGACGACGTGATTAATTTCCATACCACATTTGAGCTGAGAGAGAGAGAAAAGTTCTTTTGCTCTTTTTGAACCGTAATATCTTTTAATGGGGCTGTATGTTTAGTTGTGGCCTTCTTGTTAGTGTATGATTAAAATGCATATTATTATATGAGATAACTAATACAAAATAATATGTCTACGATACATTATCCTACCTTTATATGTAATGTCGAGATCTTAGCACTCTCCACAAGAAGAAAAAGAGAAAAAATAATAAGAAAAATAATAAGAAAAATAATAAGAACAGGATGTATATAAATCAAGGACGATATAAACCCGTCTCGCCCGAGAGGTCGGATATCTCACCGGCCATAGTTTGGGATTCAACCAAACACCGGCTCATCCCGAACTGAAATTCCATAAACAGAGAATACATAAATTTGCGAGAAACCCTATTCTCATATTCTACTCACTGCTGAAATCCTTTACAAACAGAAACACACTCGTTGCTCAAAGTTCACCGTCTTTGGCGCCAAGCTTGTCGCATGGTTATCATCGGAAATCTTTTAGCGCAGGTTTTGGTCTTAACTGATGTGCTAATTAGGGTAGCCAGACGTTCGAATGCAATGATTTCGTCCTTGACATTAAGAGATTAATTGTTATCGGTCACTATTGCCATACTGGCATTTTCTTCTATCTGAAACCCTAAGCTTAGAATTGGCTTCAGTGTGACAGGGGGGGGGGGTCTACTAAATGATAGACAAGCTTCGGTCCATGGCACCAATCAAGATCCTGCCCACTTTGATGCGGGGTATTTAAATAAATACTGATAAAGAACATCGGTACCCATCTCAACACAAATCCAATTTCCTGCTCTGAAAGCCACGCTCGAAGATTCCCACACCCTCAAATCTAGCCATGACATCTCACATGGCGAATCCACCCACTGAGAGCCGCCTCTCAACACGCATCTCCCTCCGATGGCTCCCAGAACCCGCTTCCGAAACGACTGACACTATCGTCATGTCCGTGAAGGGTTGGTATGTCGACCTTCGCGTAGATAAGAAATCCGGTGACATTGACTGGGCAATTGCCGGTCAGCGGGTTGTGGATAGTAGCGACCCTCGTAAGTTCTGTTACTACATCCCAGGACTGCATGTATACTGACAATATCAGGCCGCGTGCAGTTTACCCATGAGATTGACTCCCATAACTCTTTTGATGACGTTGACTGTGGTACCTTTACTACGTTGCCGAATGGCGATGACCTGGAGACTGGATCTATGTCTCGTCCAGATCTGCCTGGGGCTCCGGTGACAGAATATGAGGAGGTCTGGCGGGAATTGAGCTTTAGAGAGGGTCCCGAGGGGCCGGGGAAAGGTGTTTCATGGGTTTTGGAATCGAGACATGATCTCGAAATTGAGGAAGGCGAGGAGGCGGAAGTTTCGAGGACATTTTTGGCGAAGATTTGGGGCACGTATTTGGTGGTGCAACAGAGGCAGGTATATGTGCGCTTAGTAGGTTCTAAGGATGTAGTGGTGAAGACAGGGCAGGGGGTTAGTGCTAGAAGAGAAGAGTGGGATTCAAGTGCTGCTGGCTGGTCAGCTAAGTATGTTCTTGGTCTTGAAGGCGACAGTTTGCCCAGCGCTCAAGACGTCGAGGTCAACGAACAGCTACGAACACCGGGTGGAACAATTTTGGTCAAAGGTCAGCCATATACAATCCGGTCATATGAAGAAAGTGTATAGTGCGCTGCGCTGTATTACTCTATATACTATGTACAAGGTCTATTTATGAGTGTTTGATTTACTGCTCGTTCACAAGCACGTAACGGTACCGGGCCTTGCCAGCGTCCATGTCCACGATGGCCTTGTTGGCATCCTTCATCGGCACCTCCTGAACCCATGACCTGACGTTCTTCTCAGCAGCCAGCTCGAGCATCTCTCGGATCTCGCTGGGGCTTCCAATCAAAGATCCTCCGAACTTGATTCTCTTGACGATCAGTGCGAAGGCGGGGATGGTAAGGGCACCGTCTTCGGGAGCACCCAGCTGCACGAAGTTACCACTGGGCTTGAGCATAGTGATATAGTCCATGATGGGCATCTTGGAGGAGGAGACGGTAGAAATGATCAAGTCCAAGCTGCGGGAGTTGTTCTTGGCCCAATCGGCGTCTTCGTCCGTTGCGATATAGGCATCTGCGCCAAGCTTGAGAGCATCTTCTTTCTTGTTGGCCTTGCGGGAAATCGCAACCACCTTATCGGCACCCAGAGCCTTGGCAAACATAATGCCGAAGTGGCCGAGTCCACCAACACCGATAATGCCGACCTTCTTTCCGGGACCGCAGCCGTTGTGACGAAGGGGGGAGTATGTGGTAATACCACCGCAAAGCATAGGAGCAGCCATCGCGGAGGGGATGGCATCGGGGATCTTAATAACAAAGCGAGAAGGCGAACGGTGATAGAGAGCATATCCACCATATGATTTGTCGCCGTTCCAGTGCTTGGAGTTGTAGGTACCGCCCATCAAGTTGGGGCAGTACTGCTCAAGCCCCGAGGCACATTCTTCACAGTCACCCTTGCGGCCCTGGCAGGAATCGTTCTGCGCACCAACACCGACGCGGTCGCCAACCTTGATGTTTCCTTCGGCCTGAGAGCCGACTCTAACTGCAACTCCGAGAATTTCGTGGCCGACACAGCAAGGGTACATCGTAGGTCCCTGGGAATGTTAGCAGCCGTGCTAATATTTTCCTCACAAAAGCTAAACATACCCATCCACTGCGCAAAGTGTGCAAATCTGAACCACAGACACCGGAATGTGTAATGCGGATATCAATATCGGTCTCTTCCCAAGCCTTAGGCTGGAACTCCTGCCAGACCATGTTGCCGTCAGCGGCCTTAGGGTCAAGGCCCATCCAACCTTCGAACTTGTAGTCGGTAGCGGCCATTGTATGCGGATTAAAGTTTAACTTTGCTCGGTTGTGTATATTCTATATTCTGTAGAGTCTCGATCGAATCTGGGGTGTTGATTCCTCGAAGGTCCTCGTGAAATTTATACAAAACAGATTGCCAGTGGCGGATGGTCTCGGCACTTCTCCGGAGTAGACAAATTCGAGAAAAAAGGATTAGAAGAGCTTAGAAATCCATTTTTAGGATGATCCACATTATTGAGGACTACTCCATAAGTCCATTATCTCCGCGATGACAGTGGAGTTATACTACCCGTTCCACGGTTGTGAAGCCATAGTGAGAAGGGTAATTTGCCGCTTGGCAGGGGCAAAACGAGGAACAAACCAACAGTAGATGACATCAACTCGGAATTTACGATTATACTAAGCCTTTTTCTATCCATGAGTTAAGCTGCAAAGTTGATGCATAAGCTGCATGCGCTCATGACGACGATGTTCTCCTTGGTGACTGAAATGGCTCATGGTGGGTCCATACCCACTATGTGGATCCTTGACCACAAAATTTCTTAAAAAGCAGAAAGTATGATTGGTTACCGAATATAAAACCCTTCTTCAGGCTTCTATTTCGGCTTCTAGCCCGGCACCTTCGCGTGCTAACGCTAACTCCGTACGTCTTTTGCGTGCTGCTTATGCCGCTCCACTTGGAATTAAAGATTACAAGATGCTTAACTCCAGGGCAACCAATCCCACTTCAAATAAGGTCGGAGACTTTTGGAGAAGTCGGCCTAATATTTGTACCAACGGCATTCAGAAGCTCGTTCCTTGATTGGCTGGTGTGGAATCGACTACGATGAGAGGGTGTTGTCTCTGCTACTATTCCACAAGCCAAATGAACAAATACTAGTATACGACAATTCATCCTATGACAGGCAAACTTATCCCATACTGTTTGTTCTGAAACCCCAGACTTCTAATTGCCGCATTCCGACGAAACGCACAGATCAAGGGCCGAGTTCTTCCAAAGATCATTCTTCAACATCACTTAACGCGACACGGGCATTCCATCATATATAGATCATTTACAACATAACCTATGCGGCGTCGGCATCCTCGCCTCTTACAGCAAAGATAAGTTTACAGATCTGATCCTTTGGCCGAGCGGAGATGATCTGATCATCAAGATCCATCGACGCAATCATATCCGGGGCGACCGACGACCGAAACCGAGAATACAGCTCTCGAAGCAGAACCTTCATTTCCACCATTGCAAGACTACATCTGTCAGTATAGAAGCACGGCTTTAGGTTTTGATTCACCTACTTCTTTCCAGTACACCCTCTCCCGCCTGTCCCAAACGAGAAGAACAATCGATTCCGGTCGTTGAAGCCCTTTTCTTCTAACCATCGTTCGGGGTTGAAGCGGTCCGGCTCAGGGAACACTTCTTCATTGAAACGGTGTACTGTATATGGCTGACAGCTGACAATAGTATTCTCTGGGATGAAGTATCCATCGATTGTCCTGCCACCACATGGGACGTACCGTGGAAAGGACATCGGAATTGGCGGTGTGCATCTCAAGGCTTCCTTTATGACAGCATCTAGATACGGCATTTTATCAAGTGGTGTATCATCGGATGCTGATAGCAGCTCCCTGTGAAGGCGATTCTGAAATTGTAAGTTCTGAGGCTGAGATAGTTCCCACATAAGAAAACAAAGGGCATCTCCGGTAGTGTCAATGCCAGCAGCCATATGGTCTTTGCATTCAGCGGCAACTTGCATGTGGTTCAGCGTCGAGCCTTTACGGGTGAGACGCGCGACTAAGCTGTGCTCGTCAGGGTGTTGTTGCCCGGCCATCTGTAAAACATAGGCGTCTGCTGTGGGAGCAGGACGGGGGTGTAGGCAGGATGGGAAGTATGGAGTTAGCCTGGGGAGGTAATAATGTAGAAGATTCTCTGCTATGGTCAGCTTCGTTTACGCTGAGAGCTAACCATTTGACATACTTTGGAGGCTTTGATGGTATGTCAACTCCTCCATCATCTCATAGTCCTTAGCATTATCTAACGACTTCAAGCCACCAGGGCTAAACATAAAATTTGTAACTCCATCTAGCGCATAGCAGTGCAAGAGGGACTAAAACTGTGAGTCGTAGTCACTATAGGTAACCGGAGTACTCACGTAGACGTTCACGCTTCCTTCAATGGCAGCACATCTCGATACGAAGGCCTGAGCTCGCTCCTTGATGGCGGACACATGCTTGTCGCGTACGATATTTGACATAGCGTATCTATCGGCCAATTCCCGCTTTCGATGACTATGCTGCACATTGTTAGTTGCGATGATCTCTATTTAGATAGGTGAGCTAACCCCTTGCTTCTCGAGCGTAGAGAACATGGTTCTTTACTTGTCAGCTTGGTTGTCTTTTTATTGCCTAGTGATGTTATACTTAATGCCATATTGTCGGAATAAATCATAATATTCCGTCTTATCATAACCACTACCCCCGGATGCATAGATCTCTCGAATAGCATCTAGGGTAACAAACGAGACTTCGCTCGGTGCAAGGCGGACTACAGGGCCATACTTCTTATGTAGGTGATGAACGAAAAGACGTCTAGTCGCTGTGAATTCGTGGTACTTCAGGCAGAAGCTGGTGAAATTCGTATACCACGGGCCGGGGATTTTGGCAAGTGGGGATGAAAGACGCTTGAAGAGATATAGTCCAAGAAGTAGGATACTGGATAGCCATAATGACCACATGTTGAATCAACGTTTCCCATAGACTGTGACTGGGATTTTGTCTTGGGAAATACCGATCTCTTCTCACAGCAAGTATATATGAAGACTAGTGATACGACCAACGTGATAGAATAACTCTACACCATCCGAAAAGGGAAGTTGGAAGAGATGCTACCCCAGGAAATCAGAAACTGTCCAATCCTTTATCTGATATCTGCATTAGTCCCTCAATGATAGGCGTTGGTTATCGTGCGGGGATGCTTTTTATCGGATCCTTCCGACTGATAAGCAAGTTGCGTCTCGGCACTGGAGTTTCTTTTAGTAAAAGATGAGTTGGACTTGAAATCTACTGCGGTATCAAAACCAAGATAATATTCAGAGCCAGCAAGCTAGTTCTATTTCTTTCACTATGCAGTGTGGAAAGTCGCACTAGTAATCGTTTTTCATATGTTGTGCCATGATATGTGGAAGGCTTTCAGTAGCAGTCACACTTTGTGGGTCCCAGTTCGTAAATTATCATCGATGACATCCTCGAGTGCCTTCCAACAAATTACCACGCTTTCTGCAGTGAAGTATATGTTGAGCTCTTCCTGAGACCTGTTGTCTCTATAAAAAGACTTCGCGGTTGGGATTGTCATTAAGAAGATGGCACAAAGTGTCCATCACGTCGTTCTAGTCTTATCGTCAATATGCTGCTGGACCCAAGAGATGCCGTAATGTGGGCATCCGGTTGGATGGACATAGGATCGCTTATTCTTAGAATAAACAGCCAGTTATCGCTTCGAGCACACGAAAAAAAAAAAAAATGCAACATGGGTGCTGACAATTCGTCCAACTTATGTTCGAAAAGGTCATCTGCGGCATGCAAGTATATTACAGAAGCTCAAGAGTTTTAATTCCTACCATTGTGTCTATAAAAGACAAAGAATTGAAAACAAGCATGAACATCTGTCGCTAGAGGTTTATTAGAAAGCTTGCGGGTGGCCATCTAACATGCCAGGTTTCCGGTAGGGAATAATGATCAAAAGAAGGCGTTGAAAGGTACACCAGATCTTGATCCTGCTCCGTTGGTCTATAGTGAGAAAATATTACAATGACATGATCTTAGTAGTGGAATAGGAGCCCGTTTGAAACAAAGCTCAGCGCTGTCGTGGATATGTCAAATATATGCTAACGAAGCCATGAGCCAAGGCTACTATTATAAATTCTCAGGAGACTCGTCGAAGGTATTTTTGTAATTTTAGCGCTCAACGATCATCTGGATCTCTCCATGCCAGAGATACTTATTCCCGTGATCTGCCTAAACCTCAACAGCACAACATTTACCCAAGATGGATATCTATTAAAGTGTGGGACAATCTTGGCCACTCACCAGTTACAAAAAATGGATCCATTGTGGGGACTTGCGTGTATATTGACTTCTGATTCGCCAAAAGTTAGACCCATGGATTACTAAGCTGTGGAGTATGGAAGTTGGTGTCTCCTGAGCTTCCTATTAATTGTTCTCGAGGACCAAGAGCTTATGCATATACTTAGCAGCTCACATACACATTGGGGCAACACTTTCCCTATTTTGTCCGCATATCTTGATAGCTGATAGACGCATAACAGAATGGTGTCTGAGGCGCCTAAGCGTGTTACTCTGCGCAGATCATGCCAAGCCTGCGTTCGGGGCAAGCGTCGTTGCGACCAACTCTGGCCGCGGTGTAGTCGGTGCCAGGCACGAGACAGTGACTGTGAATATATCAATATTCCATTGCCATCTAGACCCGACGCCTCCAATGTCAGTTCGCGGTCTGTACGCCGAGTAATACCCGTGTCCGCTCTGCCGATACACCGGCCGCTGCCGTTGGTGATTATGAAAGGATACGATCGGGAAATCATTTCGTTCCTTATAGCCGGAATGCGAAGCTTTCCGATCGAGTTCGCTGAAAATATGAAGACCCAGTTTATCCATCCAGACCTTTGTCAAAATCGCGAGGCTTCAACCGTGTATCAAAATGTTCAGTCACTTTGCAAACTGCATGCCCAAGCTAGTCAGGGGAACAACACCACGGCTCTTGCCCCTCTACTACAGCAGCACTGTGCAGAACTCCTTCGCAAGTCTGGTCATCCAGCTAGCTTCCAGGAGCTTCTCGCAATCATCCAATCGTTACTTATCCTCCAGTGCCTTCTCGTCCTCGATGAGAGAACCGATGATGGCCCCTATTCGGAAACAATCAGCACTATGCTCTCTAATGTTGGCCGGCGTCTCTGGCAGCAAGCTCCTATCCAACTCTCCCATACTCTGAGTCCACGGGAGGCATGGCTCTTCGCAGAGAGTGTTCGGCGGACAATCATCGTCGCGTTCATGTTGCGCAGCGTATATTCGCTACTAAAGAGAAACTACTCCGTCCGCACTCCGTTTGTCGACTCATTACCTTTCGATGTTCGCACCCCCCTGTGGGATACAGAACATGAGGACTGGGATGACACAACGCCTGTATCTTTAGAAAACATGGTTTCCTTGCAACAGTATTCGACATTGCTAGAGTCGGGTGCGGTCCATGGTATCTCGCCTTTCAGTGCTCTGATATTGGCTGCATGTAAAGGCAAAGCTGTTTCCGACGTACCTTACCCGCCTGTTACAGGTTACAAGACCTACTGAGAGCTAAGGCGAATGAACACTACTCATAGACATGGAACAAAGATTCGGCGTTGCTGAATGGTCTATCTCTAATTCACATCCAACAAGTCGATCGCTCATCGCAAGAATTGCTTGAGCAAACCCGCCAGCATCTCAGTCATCTGCTGATATATCCCTTGCCTCTGAACCTCGAACGCCTCAAAGATATCCTTGGCTGATCCGACCGGGATTTGTTCCTCGCCTTGGGTTAGCTTGGCCCACACTTCGTCGATGAATTCCTGCAGCGGCATTCCAATGAGATGGCCGTCTTTCAGATCCGGCTGGTGCTTTGCGTCGTGCAACTCGGTCTGCACAGCAGGCGGATATATCTCCAGCACCTTCACATTCCCGGGTCCGTCCTGCAGTTGCGTACGTAGGGCGAGGATGAAATGGTGCAGTGCGGCCTTTGAGGCACCGTAATTCGGACAGCGCATCATTGGAACAAGAGCCATTTGTGATGTGGTAAATGCAATGGCTGTCTGGGTTGGTTGTTTTTGCAGGTGTGGGAGGAATGCCTTAGTGAGACGAACTGCAGATGTATAGTTCGTGATCAATTCTTGGTCGAAAACGTCCAGATCGACGCTCTCGGGGTTTGCGAAATCAAATGGCCGCTGGATTCCGGAATTGATGAAGACACAGTCAAGGCCAGGGTTTTCAGAAATCACTTCTGAAGCAAACTGGGGAATCTTCGGTATGGGTTAGCTGGGCCCTTCATGGATCCAAAGCAAGGACAGGAAAGTTTAGGTTGGCGGCTTACTGCTTCAAGATTCATGACATCGAAAACTTTGGATTTGACCTTCTCACTGCCATACTCCTGGACGAACTCTTCCAAGTTCTCCTTCCTCCTCCCAGCAATGACAACCTGGGTACCATTTTGCACGAGCTTAGTAGCCAGTGCTTTGCCAATGCCTGATGTGGCACCGATCACGAGGACTTTTGTGTAAGGGAACGGCATAGTGGGGAGTACTTATGGAAATTAAGGATGGTTATTACAACTACAGCTCACACCGACATGCCTTTCCTCTTTTTATATCCAATTTCATGCACTTTGATGCCAATGTTATCGCCATCTGTAGCGGAGACTAAGCCTCTTTTGGACTTTTCTCATGGCCCACCACCTTTGCGGAGACTAGGCCAGATTAGGCAATCGACCTCGGCATCCATGATCATTCATTGGATCGACGGTGGCAATCATTCGATATCAAAACTTCGAGGTTGATTCATTTGTCAGAAACGGACTTAGGACATACCTGACCCTAAATCCTTGATCTTAGCTCTCGGAAGCTGTGCTTGGAGTAGTCTAGAGATACCACTATACAGTGCTCCTAGAGCGGAACGACAAGTATGGTCTTCCAATATTTGGGACATGGTAGTGCAGTCTCGTCAATTAGTGTTTAGCGCGCAGCTCCCAAAAACATACAAATTCTTATAGAGAAAAAAAAACTTAGCACTTATTACAGTCCTATGTCATTAGCTGTGCTGCAACTACCTCTCTTTATATAGGGTTTCGTTCTACATTTGTCTATAGAAGTAGTCCCAAACAGATATGGACATAGCATAATCTAAGTCAGGTACAAAGAAACAACACATAGCACGCCTGCATAAAAGAAACCAAATCCACAGAGCACCTACTACTCCCCCTTCTCACTCGGATAAACAGGGTCCTCCTCCAACTCAACCCCCCAAAACCTCCTCATCCTCTCCCCAAACAACTCATAACAAGCCCCCTTCCTCAAAACCTTCATCTCCCCGAAATCAAACAATATACTCGCCCTCCCATAAGTATGATACCGCTGCAACCCATAATCAACCACAATATCTGCCGCCTCCAAGATCCCCTCTTCGATATCCTCTACGCGAAACTTCTGTCCACCCCCAGTCACATTCGCACTCGACCCCACAAGCACCTTTCCCACCTCATAATGCAACCTCACAACCTCCAACAGAAGCGACCCTCCACCCACATGAATCGCCATATTCCCATCCTTAGTCGTCTTTTCCAACGTCTCAGCTGACATGCCCTGCAAAAGCGGATGGTCGGATCTATACGGCGCAACGACCCCAAGCGACATGTCTAAATCGTGCGTTAGGACCTTGGTGATATTGAATCTCTCCTCGGGGAGGATATGTAGCGCTTTGTGGACATCGTAGTTGCCGATTATGCCTTGTGTGTGTCCCGGACGACGCTTTTTCGCGTGAAAGGCGCGAGTGATGGCTTCGCTAGAGGAGGCGATCAGCCCGTAGCCTACCTCTGTGGGGACTATGGCTATGCCGCCTTCTTGGAGGGTTTGGAAGACTCTCTGTGCGTCGTTGTGGATGTTTGGGAGTGTGCCCGGGGTGGGGATTAGTTTGGTTTGGCGAGTCATTGTGGGTGAGTGGGCTATGGTATGGAGATTGTACATGGGATCGCGATGTAGTTTTATAATATTAGAGCAGGTGAGATAATAGGGTGGAGGGGCTGATCATCCACTCTGACACGTCAGCCCAAGTTGGGGTCCGTAAGGTTAGCACAGTCTTTATCCAGCTAAGCTTTTCATGGTGGTTTGGGTGCAGCCAATACGCGCATGTATAATCTTTTTATTTTTTAGATTCAAGATTTAGATATAGATTAGTCTAAAGCACGTATCTGAACGTCTTGTTGTCGATCTCTGTTTGATCCTAGTTCATTATCAGCTTTTGTGAAGTTCGCCCACCATGAACCGGGAAACCTTACCAGCATGCCCTTCTCAACACCATCGCTCTCATCGCTGTTCGAACCAAGAGCTTCCCGATCCCTCCGTTTATTCTCGAAATACATGTACAGGTAGAGGGCAATAATTGAAACCAGCTTCACCGCGTACCCAACCAACATACTGAACAACAGTTAGCATCGATAACTCCACATGACCACTCAGATTGGAAACTCACGCAACATAAGCACTATGATATCCCGGTGCCTCACTATCCTTGAATGTCTGCGGTCCAATGATATTTCCCACACAATACCCCGTGAACAGTAATGCCCCGGTCACCTGTTTCTTCGTGGACCCAGCAATGTTAGAACTCACGATCGTCAGACTCATACTGAATCCCAGTCCCTGGAAATAGCACAGCCAGAGCGCGACCAGTCGGCCCCATTTATTCGAGTCCGGAAGACCCACTAGGAGCCCAGATCCGATGATGCAAACTAGACAGGCGAATATCATGCACGCACTTCGAGAGTGGAATTTGCCGCTATATTTCGTCGCAATCATGCCGCCGAAGAGGAGGGTGAGGAACTGGACCGCTCCACCGGGGATCTGCAAATATTGCGTTCCGAGGGTATCGAAGCCGAAGGATCCGACAATGATGGAAGTGAACTGTTTTCCCGTTAATGACTGTTCGTGGGGCGGAATGAGAGGCTCGAGGCATGACATACACTCGTCAAGGCAGAGTTTGGAACTTGAGCACCAACAGCCATGATGAACAATAACCACGTCTTAGGATCTCTAGCTGCCTGCCACACTTGGTACCATTTGAAGTGGTGGTTCTTTACCCCTTGTCGGTTGATCGCGACGCGGTCGATAGCAATCGCTTTCTCGCGCTCGGTGAGGAATTTGGCCGTTGATGGGAGATCGGGGAGGAATAGGAGGGATACGACTCCGATGGCGAGTGATACCGCGCCGAAGATTAGGAATACGTACATCCATCGCGGGAGACCGCCCGTTATGTGCCCGATTGCGTAGCCGAGGAGGCTGTCGGTAAGCAGTTGGTCAGTCTTTCACTATCAATTAATTTCACGACTTTGGCAAAGACCTACCCTCCAAACATGGTGGCAATGCCATTGGTGCAGTAATATGTTTCGAGGCGCAGAGGCTGCTCGCTTGAAGTATACCAGATGCTCATCATAATGACGAATCCGGGGTTCACAACGGCTTCGGTGACTCCAAGGAGAAAGCGGTTCACTGCTATCCCGGCGAAGTTGTGACAAGCCGGCGTTGTCATCAACAGGCCTCCCCAAACTATATATATTAGCCATGTCGAGAATAATGCAGAGTAAGGAAACCCTACTGATGGTCGTTGTACTAAGGAACTTCCCAATTGGAAGTTTTTGAAGGGCTAACCCAGCTGGCCACTGCGCGACCAGATAGCCGAAATAGAAGATAGACCCTAGTCCCAGTCAGTCATGCCTAATTTACTGCGCAAGGAAAACCATACCTAGCCATGAATAGTCCTGACCTTCCAAATGTGTTCCTTGCTTCAAGCCGTAAACTGACGAGAAATTGAGACTGTTTTTGTCGAGATACTAGGAAGAATAAGCATTCAATCACGATTCGCCAATGCATCCTTCTTACCTGCAATAAGTATATAAGGAACAAAAGCGGCATTAACCTAAGGTCGATTTTCCGCAGAACCTTTTTGGCCTCTTCCGGTGTATATTCCAATTCACGAGCTTGTTGGTAAACATCATAGCTATCATCTCGCTCCGATGACCCTGCAGACGACAGAGGCGCCGACGAAACATTCGTCTCAAGATCCTTATTTGAGCCCATACTGCAAAGTCCCAAAATAACGACAAAAGCAAGACCACCTCGCGCACTCTTTCACCATTTTCACCAGCGAAAGGCCCAGCTTTTATAACCCATATCGCGAGACGACGCGAGTCAACGATGCGGGTCATGACCCCACAGATATGGTTCGATCATATCCATGTTGGGAAACGAGTATCGAGCATAGGTTTCAGACAGAGAAGAATATTATTTGCCGTTGAGAAATGCGCACGGCGCGGAGTGCTTGCTATTGAATGGATGGTTGGTGGTTTTGGTGTACCGTGCGAGCACGACATCGACCCCACGATTGCGTCTTCTCGGCAGTTGCTGATGGTGTCATAACTGCAGTGTCGCTCGGGAAAAGTCCGATAATCTAATATGTTCTGGAGATTATTATTCGCTATTAAGCAAGACCAGATTATGCATCTTGCCGTGAGGAAAGTAGGTTTGGCCGACAGACAGGGAGTCGGGGTTGCCGTTATATATGGCTTTTCCTAATTAGGAATGATATTGGGCTGCCTGCCTGCCATCTACCCCAAATTATCTTAACTCTAATATCAAATTAAATAATGGAATTATTCACCAATTCTATATCATTCTAGACAGGTATACCTCTATTTAAATCATCCTCCGCCCGTAGATAATCAACAAATTGTCGCATTGAACGGTACGATGCGTATGTACTGCGTTGATCCATCAGTGAACCGCCAACAGCAGTATATTGTACCATCTTAATCACAAACATAGAGATAAAGAATAGTGATCAGAATTTAGGTAGTAGACAATAGTCAGCTCCTTTTATTTTCCGTTTCTTTTTTAAAAAAAAAAATAAAAAATAAAAAAATAAATAAATGAAAAAACCCTCCATCTTTTCCCTTGATATCGCCTGGCAAGTCATCCATTCGTAAAGACATTGAGCTGATAATCGTATTAGATTTCAGACATTAAGTTCTAAGCCCAGCCCAGATATTCCCTGAGCCGTCTACATCAAGCATGTAAGGATAGTAATAACTCTCATGTGACATATACATTAGACGTAACTACATATACAAAGCGTCGTATAATACATGTGATATAAGTGATAAGTACATCCGAGAAGAGACCGTGCCACTATACATATTAGGCCTCTAAACCATTATAGCATAGTCCCTGGGCGAAGTATAAAAGCAAATTAATCACCGGAGATGGGGTAGCCAGGCGTCTTCGTGGACTAATCACCCAAATATTACTCTCTGTGTTCACAGAACAGCAGCGGCCAAGGCCACGACAGCACCACCGAACAGCATACCGGCATCTCCAGTAATCTGGGGCATACCACCGGTGCTGACAGCTGAAGAGCTGGAGCTCGAGCCCGAAGAGGAAGTAGAAGATTTCGAAGAAGTCTGGGCCGCTGAGGTAGTGGCCTTACTGCCCGACTCGGCCGTCGTGGTAGCCGAAGCGGTCGCGGTCGCAGCCACGCTGGTAACAGATCCAGCGGTGATCGTTACCGGTACGAAGGCCATTTCGCTCTGCTGAATAGTTGAGATAGTAGTTCCCGGGAAGTTGGCCTCAGGCCCACCGGCAATTTCAGTGCAAACGGCAGAGGTCGTTCCGGCCACGGAGCAGTTGACGGTGTAGAAACTGTTAGATGAGTCGGGTTAGCCGGGGTCTCAGCGGACTGTGTTATGTGTAGGAACAAGGAAACGCACAAGTCCGGCTTTTCATTCAGCTCTATGATAGTCGTCGGCGACGCAGCTGTGAGAGTGAGACCAGGCCCTAAGCCACAATCATAGTCATCGTCATCGTCATCGCTCACGCTCACGGTCGGCCTCGGAGCACAAGTAATACTATAGGTTGTCGCAGTGGCATCCTATTTTGCATGTTAGCTCATGCGATAGATTGATAGAGCCGCGCGGCCAAAGGATCGTCCGATCGTCATTCTGTGGGGAACTGACATTCCCAACGATAGAAGCTTCCAAGTGTTGTGGGTCTAAGCCAAGGAGAAACATAGAAGTCACGCTGGAACTCGCTGAGATGAGGCCAGCCATCGCCAGGCCCATAAGCAGTTTCACGGCCATGGTAGTTTAAGTGATAGACAGTTATTTCTTCGGGTGGTCAAATTGTAAACACGGAGAAAGAAAGGGGTTCAGAGTAATTTGGTGGTTTAAGTATTTGAAAAGTCGTGTCTGTCGTTTTATCCTCGGATTCAGGGCCAGGGGCAAAAAGAAAAACTCAAAAGCTTGTCTAACGTCTTTTCGGGTTAGAAGAGGGAACCTTTGGAAGACAAATTTAGGGATCGATTCAATCTAGGCCCCTTTAGCGACTTTTCTCCGACGTTGTTATTGGTGCCGGTCAAGATCCGCTAATAATTCAGGGAAATTAGTCCAGGATTAGGTAAACCCTGGGATAAATCTCCTGCTTTTGCCACTAAAAGAAGAACTGACAGTCAATACGTACTAAGTAAATGGTACCTGAGGGCCCACACATGATCCATGGGGCATCTTCGGTATTTGACCATAAGCTGAAACTAGACTAACCCTAAATTTGACAAACAACGAGTGGACTTCGGGACTTCGGAAGAAGAACGCAGATTGCAGGTAGAGACCATTGATCACACAAGCTAGTAGTAACCAGAACAAATCAACTTTCGCCTTTTGTAAGTCGGACACGGAGTATCACCAGAGTCTGTAGACCAATTGTCTGCGGTGCTCTCGCTCTCCACGCTGCTCTCACTCTTCACGCTGCTCTCACTCTCCACGCTGCTCTCACTCTCCACGCTGCTCTCACTCTTCACGCTGCTCTCACTCTCCACACTGCTCTCACTTTCCACACTGCTCTCCCTCTTCACACTGCTCTCCCTCTTCACACTGTTCTCCCTCTCCACACTGCTCTCACTCTTCACATCAATGTCCTCTTCAGCGTGGGAATAGGGTGAACGGTCGCAAATAGGAGCACATAGAATAGATAATGAACGGCGCCTTCTTTCCCATACCACTGTGGCCGGCGCAGCAAAAGGGTCACATACAAGTACAGTGCTGCGGCCAGACTCAGGGTTGAAATCTGGCACGAAGTAACAATATTCGAAATGCTGCTGGCCAGAAAGTTGAACACCATTATGGTCTTTCTTCCCGAAGAACGCCGAACACAAGTCTTGCAGAAACCCACATGGGAACATACGCATATGCGCTCGGAATCTCTTCTTCCCTGCACTGCACACCCACGAGTCCACTGCCATCCGACGTAGAGGGGAACCTGGAAGGGTGCTCTCGTAGGCATAGGCTACCGCGTCAGTTCCTATGGCCCCTCGATCAAGCCGCCTCTTGCAGAGCATTAACGCATCATTCTGCAGTGTAGGTATGTCGAGATGTTCTGCTAGAACCCACAGCTTGAACAGATCAAGGACTCGAAGAGGTTGATTCATGCAGACCCGGTTCCAATACAACCACCTGACAAATACTGCAAAGGTACTTGAATCTTCCGCTGGTAGGTGGATATGTTCTTGGATTTTATAAGCCATTGGACCGCTATAGAGGTCAGCAAAAGCTGGAGATAGTCCGCATAGCAATTCAATATGAACTTTGAAAGATGCTGGCGGAATTCCCACGTCAAGCTTCACGGCGGCGCCACGCATAAGACTGCAAAACAAAGTCACGGTTACGTTAGTACATATTAGTGATTTATGATGAAGGGCTAATACGCACTGCTTTCTTGTGCTGTTCGACATGGTGACTTAAAGCATGAGTTCAATTGATGATGAACTTGCAGAGTGAATTCACGTATTATGGCAAGATGGTGAGCCCCTGAAGAGGTATTTATGGATGCCGTTGCGCCCCGTTGTCTCTTTGTTTACTTGCCCCTTATCTTGGCGTTTATGTGTAACTACTAAGGCCGCTCCGCATTAGCATGGGCCACTATAGTCGCAGCCCTCGGAGATTATCAATAATGAATAAAGTGGCGCCGCCGTGAACTCGCACCCATCACTCATCTACAGGACAACAGCAGATCCAGCTTCTACATGGCGAGCTAGGTCATAAGAACATTCAAATAACAAAAACTACCAGTTATAACAGACAAAGGGACAAATAGATGAATACCACTGGCAAGCAGCTATCCCGAAAACCACGTGCTTTGCTTCCGAACTAATCTCTCGCATGGAGAAATTGCTTGCAAGCGAAGCACATACAGTCACTTGACATATATGCCCTTCCTCCATGTATCTTCAATCAGGTACAGGAGCAACCAAGGTAGTTATTGGTGCAGCGACCATTGCGACCATCGCAGCCATTTTCATTGCACTTCCCGGTATCCCTGCCACAGCCATATCCACATGGACAGCCCAGATATGGACCCTGTTTTCAACGTGCATCAGTTAGATCCATATCATCTCAATCATAGGGGGCGGGGTTTGGTTTACCGAAGTGCAGGTTATACGGTTCGAGCTAAGCTCGCCGTGGCAGTTGTTATCATAGCAGCTTAGAAATGCATATAATCTATAACAATGTAAAAGCTGAGTTGACACTGGACGTCAAGCTCTTTCAATCCAGACCGCCACAATACGCAGCCGGTCCTATACAGAATATGGATGTAACCCTATCGCTTACGTTACTCACAGCTACTTCGGTACTGCAGAATCCTTGCAGAAATCGGGGATATGTAAGCCACTATCACAATTATGATCATGGTGGGTTTTAAACGGGCAATATAAACCGTAGATATTATGCTAGTTCCCCGGATCTTGTTAACTTAGGCGCGAGCTCAGGCGCAGATTAAGGCACCCTACAAAAGTACGAATACAAGGCCAATGGGCTGTAGTTGATCTCATCCGTCCCGAGTCTATCAGCTTACTTGCCTCATCCGGCATAGCGAACTGCAGTGTAACTCCTCGGCCTATTATAGCAAGATACACCGCAGAACCTGTGCGGCTGAAGGCGTATATTAACATGATCATTGCTCAACTGGGGTTGTGGGGAAATAATGGCCAGAAGAAACCTGTGGCGTTAACTATATCATATATCATATGCAGTGTACGTCAGCCAGCCATAATTCGGTCATAAGTTGTTCTTCCTCGCCTGCTATAGTTCGCTTTCAACTTGACCAGATGCGCCATGAGAGGTGTTTTTCAAATCAGTATCACAGGTCCGATATACCCTAAGCCCCAGGCTATGAGACATGAAGGTCAGCTCTGATCCGTAGTAATCGGGCAAATCTCCAGGTTTCCTTGCACCTGCAAAAACTGGCTAGGTCCTTATTCACATGATCACTACAAGCCCCAATTTCAAAATTGTCAGTAAGCCTCGTAGACAGATGATGTAACAGGATGATAGCGTTCTGATCCCTGCGAAGCGATTGGCTCGTATCCAACTAACGTCCTATCCTATTCAGATAGAGAATCATTAGCTGGTTTCTATGTCGCCTTACGATGGGTCTTTGTGGAATACTAAGTACGAATAAATTCTCCCCGGTAGGTATAACAGCAAGTCAGACAGTTTCGATCCCGGTCCGAGAGTTCCAACATTTTGGGTCCTACATGACGGTTCGTGACGCTTGTTTCGACCGAGCCATCCCGAAGCGCCTCTGGAGCGATGATGGAATTACTCCATCAGCTCTAGGCTATGACAATTAGATATCCGACTTGGGGCGTTCCCGAGTCAATTGCGGTTGGTGCAGACTAGGTGTATGATGCCTCGATATTTGATAGTTGCCCATTTAGATACAAGATGCTGGGCGCGTACGAAGTGCAGACCAATCATAGGATCATTAACTAGTGGCAAAGGATATACTTGAGCGCCGTGGCACGCAACTGGTGATGTCATGGCAAGTGGAAAAGCCACAGCACGCGCGATGCGGGAGTTCCCATGGAGCTCTGAAGCTTAATGGCCGTGGGTACATCCATGGTAACAGGTGGGTATGGTTTGGCCGATCGGAATAATTATACAGTTTCCTCGCCAGGGTAGATCGTAGATTGGTATTATCTTATTCGTGACAAATTAAGTAGACTCATATACAAATGCTAAATCGAGAACTAACGCATCGCTAATCTAGTTGATCTTCACACGCACGCCTTGCGAACCAGGCTTTACGTGCGGTAAGAACATATCGCGATAACAATCCACAGAAGACCGATCTGTCTCAAACAGCTCAAAGTCGAAGTTCCGGAAGACATTCGCAAGAGTGAGGTACATCTCTGCATAGGCCAAGTTGATCCCGAGACAGGACCGAGTACCTTTACCGAAGGACACAAGGTAGCGTGTCAACTTCTTTCCATCGGGGGCAACGGGGTCACCAAGCCAGCGCTCGGGCCTGAACGTGAACGATTCGGGGAATATTTCTTCGTCGTGGGCGACAGAATAGTTGTCCATGCTGACTACGGTTCCAGGAGGGATCACATAGTTCTTGTATGTGAGGGTGATGTGGTCCGAAATACGGAACGCACGCTGGCTTACACCATAGGACATGCGGACACCTGGTAGGTGAAAGGGTCAGTGGCAGGTTACAGGCGCGCAAGGTATGGGGGGCTACGCACATTCTTGAATACAGGCGGTTAAGTAAGGAAGCTGTTCCAGGTCCGTTAATGACGGCATATTATTGGGATCTGGTATCGCAGATTTTAGTTCCTCTCGGAGACGCTGGTAGATGCTCGGTGTGTTTATAATGTGGAAGCCGGCCACCGACAGGGCATATCTTGTTGTATCGAAGCCTGCTCCGATCACTGTAATTGCTTCCTGTTGTAGGCGGGTCAAAGTGAGCTCTTCCGGGGGCAGATCAGAGTCGAGCAATGCATTGAAAACATTCATCTGCTCCGAGCCATTCCGTTTTTCCTTCTTAGACAGAATATCGGCAACTTGATCGGCCATTTCCTGCTTTCATGTTAGAAGCACTTCTCACTCGTCGTTTGCTGCCGCTCCGTTCAACGGAAAGACGGGCGCTGATTTGTAGATTACCTGGTTATAATTATTCACGGACTTCAAGCCTGGCTGCAGAGTCTCAACCAAACCCTGCGGTAGCGAATTGAAGATGGTGGCAATCCACGGGAATTGTGTGATCATATGGACTCCATCCAACAAGTCAAACAAGGCTTGAATGAAGGGCGATTTAAAATCCGGCGCCTCGAAGAAATTGTAGCCGCGATTAAGACAATAGCGGACAATGATGTCCGACGCAATGCATCCCATCATCCAGTCAAGCCGGAAGATCTTCCCCGTTCCTTGGTACTCCCGGCGTAGTCGGTCGCAGAGCTTCGTGATCTGCTCCTGCATCATCGGAACCGCATTGTTGATTGCACGCTTGGAAAAATACGGATTAAGAGCTGCACGACGGTGACGGTGAACTTCATGGTTATGTGTCGGGAATAAGCCATTGGCGTTGTTGAAACGGTGCTCGAGTTCTTTCGGTTTATCCCACGGTAATGACTGCGAGTACATCTCCTCAAAAAAGGAAGAATCCTGGATATGGATTTCGAATGGGCTTAAGCGAATAATTGGGCCTTGGGTGTCAAGTTAGTGTACGTCTTTTCTTCAGTACTACATACCCTAACCGACACAAGGAGGGGGGAGGGTGAGAAGGCCCATATCAAACTTACCATACTTCTCATGCAATTTCCGATAGTGGAACAAGTACTGTCCACCCGGAGATTTGAAGAACTCATAGTAAGTCTCATACCATTGAGTAAAAGCAGCGAGTTTAGGGCCTGGGAATTTTGCCAACGGGTGCAATGTAATGCGATACACCCCTAGCACCAGCACGTACAGCACGGCAGCCACCACCGTCGTCGCGCAGAGAGCCAGGGGCGACTCGATTGAGGGTTGAAGAACCGACACCAGATCTTGGATGAATCCCATGGTGCAGGGATTAGATGTTGTTTGAAGCCAAAGGGCTGTGGGATACTTTACTCCGCGCGTTTGGTAGCCATGGACCCGGCAGTCTGGCACCAGGAATTCTGCAGAAAAAAAAGAAAGCCATTGTCTCAAATATGACAGGCCCCTATTGTGGGTCTTGGCCGTGCGATCCTGCACAGGGTCGTTTAAGCGGAGAAGTAGACGGATTGTACGTTTTCGGCTACGGATGCGCAATGACTTTCACCGGGTTGCGTTTAGTTTCGGAGGTCTTGCCATATCGTCGAAGTTTCTTGTGAGTATGCCTTGGAAATTGGGGGGGACCCGCATCCTGCAGTACCAGGCGATTGGTACGATCAGTTGATAGTGCCGAGTCTCTAACTATTAGACCCACCACAGTAGCGAGAACACGGACGGCCAGGCCACCTATCACATCCCTGGGAATAATCCACCGGACGTTTCTCTATGGTTGCCAATTCAGTAAGCAGAGCGCGAAAATTCTCCCGCCCGATACTGTATTCGGTTCTGTGGCCAAGTTTTGCCCGTACATTTGTCCAGTTTTCTGTGCAGACCATCTGCGTCCTATCCAATATATGGCGTCAACATGCATTCTACCCGGCATAACACTTGAGTCCAACTTTCAATATTCCAATCTTCATATTCAACCGATCATGAGTAACCGTGGATTGAGAATTCGAGCTTTGGCCAAACGGCCACGGGATTGTTCCACGTAGCACGGCATCCGTCTCCATAAATGGCGTAACTTAAAAATGAGAGTCAAAGCGTTCGGACAGAGAAGTCCGGTAGTCTGTTAAATTTTGATACTCGATAGTGAGGATAGTGGCTGGCTGTTTCTGTGGTTGTAGATCCTACACCAGGTCTTGCAGCCCTCACGTGGGTGCCTCAAATACTAGTACGCGCATAAGTCAATTATCCTACATAGTATTGGATTTTACCGGTCATGTAGACTGAGGGTCGAGCCTTGATCTACTAAGCGAAAAAGTTTATTTCCTACCAACTTGCCAACGAGAATTATTCGTATTCTGTTGCAGCAGCGGTACCTTCCAGCTTGGCTAACTGGCGGTGGAAGGAGACTAGCCGACGAATAACGCCGTGGCGATTGTTTCCGAGGGACGATTCAAGGCATGGCTAGTAGTGTGCAATTATGTAGGACACCCGTTTTTGCTATAGTAAAGGTGGGCAAAGGGAATGCCACAAAAAAATGAAGAAGAAAAAAGAAAAGAAAAGTGGGCGCATAATATCAAATGCTGATATGCCGGGTTTCTAGCTAAATAGTTCATGCGAGATGGACACCATTTTACAGGGCAACCCAATGGGAATCAGAGCCGGTATGGTTAAGCCAACAGAGTAAATTCTGCAGACCAGGAAGGAAGTAAACGGTCTAGTTTAAAGGGTGTCATTTCGCGACAACCTTTTTTTTTTTTTTTTTTTCTTCTTC